GCGGCGCGTCGCCGGCTCACGTACACTTACTCGCGTTTAAAGTACGTTCAAGTAGCAATTTAAGGCGAGCCGCGCACAGACCAGCATCGAATCCTACCGCTATACTCTGCATCTCGCATCGAGGAAGCGTTGAGAGACTCGAAATATTAAATCTTTTGTCGCGTCGAGTGAGATTCCATCTCCTCCGCGCAGTAATCATCGAGCGTCGAGAGACTTCTCCTCCGCTCATTGCACTCCTGTGGAGCCATCGTGGAGACCGCGGCCACCTCCAAGTCGGACGCCTTTTCCGGGCCCGGCACAGTAGAAGCGGAGGCGCGGAGTGGCCCCACTCCAACAGCGACCAGAAGGAAGAGGTGCCGAACCAGGACGCGGAGCCAGAGACGAAGGAAGCGCCACTCCTACCCGCCAGTACCTCAGGAACGGCACACGAAGGGGGCGGAGCCCGCTAAACCGGTGTCGCGGGAGCGGCACCAAGAGACGCCGGCCCCTGTGAAACCTCGTCTTTCTAATCAGCCTGTGCCGCAGGAGCGGCAGGCAACGAGACGGGAGTTGGATAAGGGACAAGCGATACGTCCGTGGAAGCTCATTCCATTGGAGCTCCCGGAGGTGCGCCGCACCAGGCCAGCCGGACTGACGTTCCCGAAACGGGATTGCCGCATTTCTCGGCCACCGGCCCTCCACCTGATCCGCGTCAAGGAGACGCGAACCACAGCGTGCCAGACGGTGCTCAGGCGAGCTTTCCTGGCTCCGTCATCGCCAGTGGACCCACCGGATCAACCGACGGACAAGCCACCTCGCACCCCGGGCTCTAAACTCGACCTCAATAACAACTCGGTTTCCTCCGAGCCCCTTGCAAAGAAGGCCATCCGCCACATTGAATTTTAAACCGTGCGTTAGCACTTATTTTTTGATTAGGCGCCTTCAAAGCGCCGCCTAAGACAATGCAAACATAATATATGTAATTTAGACACAGAATATATTGTTTTATTACCAAATCTTGTCTCGCTGACTCACCGCCACCGTCCTGATCCCTATTGCGACTCCACGATATCGAACATTTTGGTCCTTCGAGCCGGATACTCAACATCTGGCGTTTGCGTGCATGGATTTTGAATCCACTGTTCGACGGTCGCAATAGAGTCAAGGATCGAACAAAGGAGGTAGAGACAAGATGAGTATGGACGTAGAAAGCCTCCTTCGAAGGCAGCACGAGATTCAGGGCCGCCTTGCGCGTGCATCCGAAAATCTGAGGAAGGCAGGGGCGACTAAGATAACCGCAGGAATCGTGGAAGCGCGATTATCGGCATTGGAAACGAACTGAAATAAGTTCGACATGAACCACGAGACGCTGATGAGCGCTCATTGAAAATCTCTGAGCGATCACGATTACCTCACTTCGGATTTCTACACGACGACGGAGGAAACATACCTAGTCCAGAAGGCGGCGTTCCTAGATCTACTGGCCGGCCTCCGGCCCGCTGCAGAGCAACACGGGAGCGCGGTGACCAGGCCTGCGGCAGGCACGATGCGCAAATCGCTGCCGCGCATTGAACTGCCGCAATTCTCCGGTGACTACGCCGAATGGCCAGCTTTTCGGGATCTGTTCCACTCCATGGTGGACAAGGACTCACTATTGGAGAACGTGGAAAGGTTCTATTACCTCAAGACTAGCTTGAAAGGAGAAGCAAGCCTGCTCCTCCGCAATTTGCCGACCACGGCCGAGAGCTACACTCGGGCGTGGGAGATCCTTACGGAGCACTACCCAAACAAGCGATTGCTGGTCCGCTCTTGCTTCGCTGCCTTCACTTCACAGCCGAAGATGAAGGGGGAAGCAGCGAGCGAGTTGCGGAAAGTATTCCACGGAATGCTGCATACCATGGGCTCCCTGGAATCAATCGGACGGCCAGTCACGAGCTGCAGTGACTTGTTCGTCCATCTTATCGTCGAACTGCTCGACACCCGCTCGCGGCGCGAGTGGGAAATTGCGGTCAGCGGAACCACGAATCCGCCCTCGATTGACACTCTGAAGGAATTCCTGGAGTGTCGGGTACGTGCCTAGAAGCGCTCCAGCCGGAGAAGACGGGTCAGACCTCGCCTGCCAAAGGAGACTCACGTAGATCGGCACACTCGCACGCCGCATCTCGCAAGTCGAAGAGCACTGATCAATGTTCATTCTGCCAGAAAGAGCACTTCCTTGCCTTCTGCGAGAAGTTTCGCAGTAAAACGCTCTCTGAAAAAAGGGACTTTGTCGTTCAGCACAAACTGTGCATGAATTGCTTCGGCAAACACGCCGTTGCCGATTGCTCGTCAAAGCGGAATTGCGCCGCTTGTCAGGAGCGTCACCACAGCAGTATCCACGATGTGTGCGCTAAAGCTGCCACAACGATCGCCGCGGCCCCCATTTCTCTCCACGCAGGACAGACCAAGGGCCCGTCGTCTGGGGTATTGCTCGCCACGGCACGAGTATTCGTGGATAATCGATACAATCAACGCATCATGACACGCGCATTGATTGACCCAGGATCGGAGGTTTCGCTCGTAACCAAGGCTTTGGTGCAGCGTCTCCGACTCCCACGCCAGCCAACGTCCACGATCATTGTCGGAGTAGGCGGAAAACAGACAGGGATTGCTCGCGGGCGCGTGTCAATCACTTTGTCATCCAGATTCGCAGACTTCACGACGACGATTTCAGCCCTGGTTCTTCCGCGGATTACACGGTACGAGGCACGCGCAGAAACCTCGCGCTCTCGATGGGAGCACCTGGAGGGCCTTCCACTCGCAGACCCGGATGGTCAAGCAGATGGAGCCATCGCCTTGCTTCTCGCCGCGGACGTCTACGCCTCCATCATCGACGAAGGAATTCGGAAGGGAGGTGTGGGAGCTCCAATTGCACAAAAAACGTCGCTGGGGTGGCTAGTGTCAGGCGCAATTGCCTCCCCATAGGGCAATTCAGTCGAATCCTTGCAGTGCTCGGTCGACGAAGAATTGTCAAGCATGGTTCGGAAATTTTGGGAGCAAGAGGAGACGGTTCACTCCCCTCTGCCTCTCACCGACGAAGAACAGGCGTGTGAGGACCACTACGTCCGCACGCACTCACGACTGCCCGACGGGCCCTACATGGTGCGCCTCCCCTTCAAGAACGCACCGCCAAACCTGTCAGGGACACGACGCATTGCTGTGCGCATGCTGCAAAGCATGGAGCGCAAGACGGACAACGATCCGGAATTACATAAACTATATTCAGAATTCATGCAAGAGTACGAGGACCTTGGACATATGGCTCGGGTGCTGCCGGCTGCCGAAGAACTCGACGAGGCGCAGCGATGCTACCTGCCACACCACGGGGTACTCAAGAAAACGAACGACACCGTCAAGATACGTGTCGTGTTCAACGGATCGGCACGACTAGGCTCCGGTGACTCACTCAACTCGCACCTTCTCACCGGGCCAAATCTATTGCCGGCACTAACGGACGTGCTGCTAAGATGGAGACGACATCGCTACGTAATAATAGCTGATATCCAAAAAATGTATCGCCAGATCTCAATGCACCCTAGCGATAGAACATATCAACGGATACTCTGGCGACTTAAAAACTCACCCGAGCTGCTAGAGATGCTACTAACGACAGTCACCTACGGACTAGCGAGCTCGCCATTCCAAGCAATCCGAACGATGCGACAACTCGCCAAGGACGAGCGACATGCCTACCCTCGGGCAGCGTCCATTCTGGAGGAGGAGACATACGTCGACGACGTACTCTCCGGAGCGGACCCGAAGACGACGCAAGGGATCTCGTCCACGAACTGACGTCACTGTGCATGGCGGGCGGCTTTCCGCTACAAAAGTGGGCGGCAAACAAAGCCGCGATACTCAAGGACGTGCCAACAGAGCACAGGCAAGTGAAGGACTTCGACCTCTGGGATCAGAACGCCAGTCACGCCACTCTAGGCGTGCAATGGCACCCACAGGATGACACCTTCGGCTTCAAGGTCCGGCCGGTGGAAACCACAAGCATCACGAAGCGAACAGCCTTCTCACACACAGCTCGACTGTTCGATCCACTCGGCTGGTTGGCCCCAGCAATTATCCTAGTCAAAATGCTAATCCAGACTGCCTGGTTGCAACATCTCGATTGGGACGAGCTTCTCCCCCCTCGAGATCAACAGGACTGGCAACAACTCCTACGCGAACTGCCGATGGTCGAAGCAAAGCGGATCCCGAGATGGCTGCACACGGGCAGCTCCAGCTCTCGTCTGGAAATCCATGCTTTGCAGACGCATCGGAGAGAGCGTATGCGGCGGTCATACCTAAAAGCGAGCACTGACGGCGGGCGGAGCGTGGTCACTCTCCTCACCGCCAAGAGCAAGGTCGCGCCCGTCAAACGGGTCACCTTGCCACGCCTCGAGCTCAGCTCTGCAGCCATGCTGACTAGGCTAGCGGCGAGAGCGCAGGAAACACTGAAGCTCGTGGTGTCGCAAATTCATTTATACTCGGACTCCGAAGTGACGCTGGCATGGATTCGGGGGCACCCCTCTCGCTGGACAACATACGTCGCCAACCGGGTGGCGGAGATACAGCAGCTGCTACCGGAGGCAGCATGGCATCACGTGCCAAGCCGGGACAACCCCGCGGACTGCGCCTCACGTGGAATGCAACCCAGTGAGCTGGTGGAATTCGGGCTGTGGTGGCAAGGGCCATCGTGGCTGACGGAGAACTCACCACCCCCACTACGGACCTCGCCGCGCCTGGCAGAGGACGAGGTTCCCGAGAGGCGGGCACACATTAACACAGTGACCATAAAGCCACCCGAATCGGATATGCTGCTTCGATTTTCAACGCTGCGACGCCTGCTACGCGTCTCAGCATGGTGCCGACGCTGGTTACGGGCGATCCAAGCCCGACAATTCTCTGTTTCAGGCACATCACTGACTCCGCAGAAACTGGAAGGCGCCCTGGGGACCTGGATACGAGAGGCCCAAGCAGCCTGGTTCTCGGAAGAAATCAAAGCCCTCGACCGTGACAAGCAGCTTCCGAGGCGGAGCGCATTGCAACGCCTCAGCCCATTTCTCGATCATGACCACGTCCTTAGAGTGGGAAGACGACTGAAGCACGCGATCTTAAGCAACGATGAGCGACATCCGGCCATTCTTCCTCGAGATTCGTGGCTCACAACGTTGATCATTCACGACCAGCATAGGCTCCATGGAGGCGTTCAGTTAACCCTCGCCTCTCTCCGACAGAGATTTTGGATCCCAGGAGGGAGAGCACGAGTACGACAATGCATCCACCAATGCATCACATGTGTGCGCTGGCGGGCGAAAAGCCCACAGCAGCTAATGGCGGACCTGCCGCCGCCCAGAGTGAACATAGCAAGAGCGTTCACTCACACAGGCGTGGACTACGCCGGGCCGATTGCGCTGCGCACGACCAGAGAACGAGGACACAAAACTTACAAGGGGTTCCTCGCCATATTTGTGTGCATGAGCACGAGAGCAGTGCATCTCGAAGCCGTGTCCGACCTGACCACAGATGCCCTTTTGGCCGCCTTTCGCCGCTTCACATCAAGACGAGGCCTCTGTGAGGTCTTGTACAGCGACTGAGGCACCAACTTTGTGGACGCCGACAAGGAGCTGCGGAGGTTCTTCAAGGCCGCAATTTACGACAATCCGCAGTGGACGAACCTCCTGACAACTGAAGGTGTAAGATGGAAATTCAACCCACCTTCCGCACCGCACATGGGCGGACTGTGGGAGGCAGCCGTGAAATCGGTGAAGCACCATCTTCGAAGAGTCATCGGCAGCTCCACGCTGACGTACGAGGAGATGGCGACCCTGCTGTCACAGATCGAGGCTTGCCTAAACTCCCGGCCCCTCCAGGCACTAAGCGACGATTCGGAGGACGTGGCAGCACTGACGCCGGGACACTTTTTAATTGGGACGGCGCTCATCGCAGTTCCGGAACCCTCACTGTCTCAGGCGCCTACGAGTCACCTCGCCCGTTGGCAGCACCTCCAACAAATGCGAGACCATTTCTGGGAGCGATGGGCTCACGAATACTTACAAACGCTGCACGAACGCTCGAAGTGGCGAACGAAGGGAACCAGCTGCAACCCAGGGGATCTGTGCATTATCCGCGGCGAGACGACTCCACCATGCCAGTGGCCCCTTGCCCGAATCACCGAGGTGCATCCAGGCGAGGACGGGCAAGTGCGGGTGGTGACAGCGCGAACGGCCACCACGACCCTCACCAGACCGGTGGCAAAAATCATCCCGCTTCCACAAACCGGCGACCAACACCAGACAACATCGTCCTAGGACCAGACGAGGCGGGCGGTATGTTCGAGAAGTCGAACATGTGCCGCGCGCGCCTGACAAATGCGCGCCCGGCCAACACGCGCTTATCAGATTTCGCGGCTCGCTGCGGCGCGTCGCCGGCTCACGTACACTTACTCGCGTTTAAAGTACGTTCGAGTAGCAATTTAAGGCGAGCCGCGCACAGACCAGCATCGAATCCTACCGCTATACTCTGCATCTCGCATCGAGGAAGCGTTGAGAGACTCGAAATATTAAATCTTTTGTCGCGTCGAGTGAGATTCCATCTCCTCCGCGCAGTAATCATCGAGCGTCGAGAGACTTCTCCTCCGCTCATTGCACTCCTGTGGAGCCATCGTGGAGACCGCGGCCCCCTCCAAGTCGGACGCCCCCTCCGGGCCCGGCACAGTAGAAGCGGAGGCGCGGAGTGGCCCCACTCCAACAGCGACCAGAAGGAAGAGGTGCCGAACCAGGACGCGGAGCCAGAGACGAAGGAAGCGCCACTCCTACCCGCCAGTACCTCAGGAGCGGCACACGAAGGGGGCGGAGCCCGCTAAACCGGTGTCGCAGGAGCGGCACCAAGAGACGCCGGCCCCTGTGAAACCTCGTCTTTCTAGTCAGCTTGTGCCGCAGGAGCGGCAGGCAACGAGACGGGAGTTGGATAAGGGACAAGCGATACGTCCGTGGAAGCTCATTCCATTGAAGCTCCCGGAGGTGCGCCGCACCAGGCCAGCCGGACTGACGCTCCCGAAACGGGATTGCCGCATTTCTCGGCCACCGGCCCTCCACCTGATCCGCGTCAAGGAGACGCGAACCACAGCGTGCCAGACGGTGCTCAGGCGAGCTTTCCTGGTTCCGTCATCGCCAGTGGACCCACCGGATCAACCGACGGACAAGCCACCTCGCACCCCGGGCTCTAAACTCGACCTCAATAACAACTCGGTCCCCTCCGAGCCCCTTGCAAAGAAGGCCATTCGCCACATTGAATTTTAAACCGTGCGTTAGCATTTATTTTTTGATTAGGCGCCTTCAAGGCGCCGCCTAAGACAATGCAATCATAATATATGTAATTTAGACACAAAATATATTGTTTTGTTACCAAATTTTGTCTCGCTGACTCACCGCCACCGTCCTGATCCCTATTGCGACTCCACGATATCGAACAAACTGCCTCCCAATAAGGCACATTTACTAATTCTTTGTTTGGCTCGCATGGAGATAAAATTACATGCAGATCAGCTGGCACACTTACAGCTCTCGCACCTACCATTCGAAACTTTGTAACGATGCACCCCCAAACATGCATCGTTCCGGCAAGAACACCACGCCGAGACCACCCCGCCGACCACCCGCGGGGTGAAAAACGGGCACGATGTGCCCAGCGTATTTTTTAATCATCTCATACGTTAGGAAGTCCGCGAATGGACTTAAACGCGGCAACCGCTTCACCGCGCCGAGCGGTGCCGAAGGCGGCCGAAGACCGCCGAACGCGATCACGGCGTCGGGGCGCCGCAATCCCCGATCGTTCCGCCGCATCGGCCCGGCGCTCGCGATCGCCGTCGCTACCTTCACCACGCCGCAACGCCGCCGCGACGCCGCCGCGACGCGTATAAAAGCCCGGCGTCGCTGGCACAGAGCGCGATTCCCGATCATCCGTCTTCCAGACAACACCGATCCTAAATTCCCGCACGAAAGCTAATCCGAACGTAAGGTAGAGCGCCTCCGGCATTCTCTGTCTTCGCCGAGTGTGTCTCGGCTAGCGACCAGCTTTTCGTTCCTATCTGAATCACCCGAAGCCGTCCGGATACGAAGGTAAAGCGCCCCCGGCATTCTCTGTCTTCACCGAGTGTGTCTCGGCAAAGGACCAGCTCATCTTCCAAATCATCCGAAGCCTGTCCGGACAAGACGGTAGAGCGCCTCTGGCATTCTCTGCCCTCGCCGAGTGTGTCTCGGCCGACGACCCGCTTCCGCCGCGTTATCCACGCTTCGCGATCCATATTGCCGCCGCGCTTCGCGCCATTTTTCCGCGCTCCGGGCCGCGCCGGCCGGGAAACCGGCGCCGCCCGTGCCGATACCTGCCGTCACGCGATTTGGTCCGCGCGAATACCAAAAGCAGCGGCTCCGCCCCGCACATACCGCGAGTTACCCCGCGCCGCCCGCGACCAAACCAACGTCGCCTCGCACGCATCGACCTATTGTAAATGCCGCAAGCATAGATTGTAAATTGTCATAGAATAAATTCAACTATTTTCTTGTAACCGAGACGCGCCTTCATTTCGCTAACCTCGCCCTCCGTCTGCTTCTCCGCACCTCCTTCGAACCCCGGCCAACCGCGAACTCGATCCGCGCTTCGAAGACAGGTTGTTTTAACTTTTCTATCGTTTTCTTTACATAGGAACTCTGGTGAATGACTAGAAACTTCTCTTTTCTATCGCGTAATATTTGCAGACCCACGAATGTGCTTGCATCCCCGACCGTTATATTAAAGGTATTTTTTAACCTATTAATTATATTATCTAGAAGCTTTAGAGATCGTGCTGCGACTAGTCCGTCGTCTACAAATAAAGCTAGTTATACTATATCATTATCAAATTAACCGATAAACACACACTCGTCGGCTTCACATTTTTCAAACCCGAACTTATTCAGAAATTGCGTGAACTTTTTGTTCCAACACTTTGGGGCCTGTTTCAGACCATACAAGGCTTTTTCGAGCTTACACACCACACTTTTCACTGCGTCGTCTCGTGATTCTTCTCCGATGTCGAGTCCCTCCAGCACCTCCATGTAGATCGTCTCGTCGAGCTCCCCGTACAGAAACGCCGTTTAAATATCAAACTGCGTTAGTTCGAGATCTTTCTTGGTGACTATCGCCAGAAGTACTCGTATCGTAACGTACCTGACTACTGGGGCGAACGTTTCGTCATAATCTATCCCGTGCTGCTGTCAGAATCCTCGTGCGCACAGTCTTGCCTTGAATCTAGATTGTCCTTTGGCATTTGTTTTCACTCTGAATACCTACTTGGAGTCGATTATCTTCTGTTCTGACGTCCTCGGTACAAGCGACTACGTGTGAATTTTCTCGTGTGCTTTTAATTCTTCCTGAATGGCCCTTGCCCACTGCGTGGCATGTTGTCCATTTGTCGCTTCTCTATACGTGTTTGGTAAAATGTATTCCGCGACATCCGCCTCGTATCTTTCTGAAGGCCTGACTGTTTCTCGATTTTTCAATCGAATATGCGGAGTTTCTCGAGGTTGTACAACCTCCGCTGCTTCGACTGTTTTATTTTGTACAGCGCCTGTGGCATTCTCTGGCTCGTTTTCGATGCCTTCTTGCTCTTCCTCGTCTTCTCGTGTTGCTTTATTCGCTGGAAACACGATCTCGTCATCCTCGTCGTCGTCTTGCAGTTTTTCTTTGCTCGCTACTGTCTTTCCGAGTTTCTCATAAAAAGTTACGTCTCTCGTCACACTCACTTTCTTCGATACCGGATCGTATAACCAATAATTAGCGGAATCGTCCTGAAAACCGACGAAAATTATTTTTCGCGCACGTGCATCGAATTTTTGTGTGAATTGCTTTTGTATATGGACGAACGCTTCCGAACTAAAGATGCGCAAATGTTTCAGATCCGGTGTTTTTCCAACCCACATTTCGTATAGCGTTACTTCGTCACTCGACCACACGAATCTGTTTAACACATATACCGCAGTGTTCACCACCTCTTTGACAAATTTTGAGACAGATTTTTCGCATACATCATTGTGCGGGCACTCTCAACTATTGTACGATTATCGCGCTCGGCTTTTACGTTTTGCTGCGGAGTGTATGGCGCCGTGTTTTCTTTCTTAATACCGCGCGACACGAGATATTCGTTCATTTTTCGATTACAAAATTTGGGCCCGTTGTCCAATCTCAGTATTTTCATCGACCGCCCAAATTTATTCGGCATAAACTTTTTGAACTCTTAAAATTTTTCAAACACGTCAGACTTATGTCTTGTGAAATACACGTGCCGATAATTACTCGCGTCGTCTTTGAACGTTAAAAAGTACTTCGCTCCACCGAGAGACTCGACTGTCATCGGACCGCACACATCCGTGTACATTACTTTGTTGGGCACAGTCGATACTTTCACTGAGTTTTGTCTGAACACCAAACGATGAGCTTTTCCGAGTTGGCACGGTTCACATAAAAAGTCACTTTTGTCTGTCAACGTTACGCCGTTCATCAGACCTTTCTTACGAGCTCGCGTATCGCGCGCTTGCCCACATGCCCCAGCCGTTCATGC